CTAATATAATACAGATGTTCTCCTGTGTCTTCTTTTAAAACTTTATAGCTTCACTCTTCACATTTAGGTTTCTGACCCATCTGGAATATGTGTGTCTGTGTCTGTGTCTGTGTCTGTGTGTTTATATATATAATTAAACAGTTACTTTTGCATTTATACTGAAAATACCATTTCTTCCCCCACTGAATTGCATTGGCACCTTTGGAGAAAATCAAATCATTACATGTGTGCTCATCTACTTCTGGACATGATTCTGTTAAATTGTCTTTTTAACAATTCTCGTACCAATAGGCCATTTTCTCTTAATTACTGAGGTTTCACCACATAATCTCTTAAATAGGAAATGCAACTCGTCACTCCAGCTATCGCCCCCACCTTTTTCAAAGGGCTTACTCACCCTCTTGTTAGGAAATTTAAATCTTCCCTTAGATAATTCCTGCAAAACACGACTCTCAAGAACCTCCCTTACCCACAACAACATTTCCTGAATTTCGGATCAGATTTGCCTGACTTTTAATGACAAGCGCTTGAAAACGTGATAATTTTAAACTATGGCATCCCTTAGATGTATAAATATAGCCCAGTCCATTTATTTAGGTTCTCCGGTGAACTAATTCCTTTTAATGAATGTTTATAATTGCCATTTAATGGATACTTTCCATATCTGTAATTAAATTCTTCATTGCTTATTTCATTGTAAATGCATTTATTTAATGCTCAAATTCGCCTTTTAGCGAGAATCTAGAAAATAGAATTGGAGATTTTTAGTCAATCGAAACGTGGAATTCCTCATTAGCTCTAGTCCCATTTCTTTTACATATTCTTTGCTACATTGTTCTACATTCCAAATTATGTACTCATGAAGAAGTAGCTGTATACTATCTCCTTTCCCGACTTTTCCATGCATTTTAATCTTTTTTCCTTGACTTCGACTGCCCAGTTCTATTCCAATGGTCTACCAATACCAATGGAACTGTGATAATGGTATCTGGTTCCCTAAAACTCAGAGAACAAATGTGCCAGTATCGACCATAATACCAATGTTAGCCTTGGCGTACCTATTTTTTATAGAACTACCTCTTTATCAGATTAAGTGAATCTTTTCTATCATGTCTAGATGTTGCAGAAGTAATTCATCACTCGTGCAGGGTACTGTGCCCGTGTATCAGAACCCTCCTCGTTGTGTGTATTATTGACCGCAAATTAAAAAACCTTTAACTAAACACGAGTGGTGGTATAGTATGGTTGGTAAATGATAAAGAAGTTAATATCAGGTGATACCCCATTTAGCCTTCCTGGTTTTCCATCAAGCAGTAGGAGACGAAAAACCTCAACCCGTTATGATCTTAGAGATCATATAATCTTCTAAAATGTAAGACACTCTGCAAATACTCAATAGATTGGAAAAATATATATTTTATTCTTTAGAGCTATGCAAAATACTTAATGATTTTCAATACCATTAAAAATATCACCTGTTAGTAGCCTCAATTGTCTGCCAAAAAATAAAGGTGATCAAACCAAAAGCAAAATAAGGAAATTGTGTTAATTACTTTTCTTCTCCCTTTGTTAATATAACAACATGATACAGTCCTCCCTACTTTAAGTAATTGTCTGTTTCTTCTTATATTTTCAGCAGTACTGTCCTGTTAACTTACATCTTTATGATCTGGTACAGAGTAGGCTCTTAGTGAATATTTTTTAAATGAATGGAATATTATTACTAAGACTTTTACTCCATGTCTTTGTAGCTTGATTTTTCACACCCGTGTTGGGGAAATTTATTGTCTATCGTTGAATTTTTGCCTACAAATCTGACCTTATGTTTACCCCATTGTAGTCTTTGGTTCTAAATGTATTCCAGATAACTGAAAGAGTGCATATAGAATAATTTAAAGATTTGCTCAGCGTAAGTTCAGTAAATTTGTCAATTATGACTCATCTATGCATTCACGAAACAAGTAATTATTGAGTACTTATTCCGTGCCAATATCTCTTATGAGCATTGAATCGTATGGGCTTTTGAACCAACCTTTAATTATGGGATGATTAGAAACAAAAGAGAAACGAACTCCACGTCAGCAATTGAGAATTATAATGGGAATATTATTGAAATAACAAAGTAATTTAAAAAATAGTTAAAACCTTTCTTGGAGTGTTAGAGGACTGATAAAACAAAGATGAGTACAGAGGTATTAAAACTAAGTATCTACCTTCAAACCTGATAAAAGTGTCAGAAGATTGCTGGCTGGCTTTTTGCCTGATTATAGCTACACAGTTCATTCATTCAGTCAGTCACAAGAGGGGGCTGCTTCACCTTAAAACTTAGGTTTCTTTCTTGGAGAGGGGACACTAAGCTTACGTTTTCCACTAAAGTTCCACAGAAAACAGGAAACAAAGATACACTTTTATCCTCTTTAGACAAATTGTACTTTATGATCTCTTATTAAATGTGTTATGGCTTGAAGAGTCCAAGGACCCTTACACCGATGTACTAAGTCTTCTCAGAGCACCTCCCTTAACACTACTTTCTCCAAGTTTCACTTCCCTAATCATTTCCTACCTCCCCTATTCCCTACACCTTTTTCTTCCTTTCCTTTACCTATTCTTACCACCACCCCCCCCAACCTTGTTTGCTTTCCCTGGTCTCTTTTCCTTCTGCCTCAGTGTCCTTGGTGCACACAGTAGCCATAAGCATGAGCATAGAAATTAGGAAATGAACATTAAGGCCAGAGAGTTTAAGGCAGATGAGAGCCAGCACCATTTGTGTCACTAGTCACTATATCAAGAACAGATGCACTGAGAAATGTCTACTTAGACAACAGTCAATACATGATTCCAGGGACCTCTATAGAAAACCCGAGTTTTGGGAGATTTGGCTTTCAGTGTCAGTGTTATTAATGCTTATTTTCCCCCTGAGCACATCACTTCCTACTTTGAATCTCACTCCCATTTTCTAGAATGTAGATGGGAACTTTAATCTCCTTACAACACAGAGCTCAGTATAGGCTTCTGGGATTTAATGACACTTTCCACAAGCTCCATGGAGCAGAGGACAATTTATTTGGTACATTGAGGAAAGAACGATGGAAGAAAAAGTCTGGATAGATACATCCTTATGATCGATTTTCCTCATTCAGTGCCAGCCTTTTAGACTGTAAACCTCATAAATGATTTCAGTAGACACCCCCTGAGTTGAGGATGTCTGGTTGAAATCCTCACTGTCTTCTCAGGAACGTGGCTAAACCTGGAGAGGAAGACACAGAAAAGCAACTGCTCTATCATTGGCTGACAAGATCCTGACAACAACACAATGAGAGCTGCACTCCTTGCAAGTCTTTACCAGCAGCTGTTGCTTCAGTTCTCTGGAAATTCTTTAAACCTAGAATCAGATACAAAAACTGAACTCTGGGTCCATAATCTTCATTTGTCCTTGAAGTATGAGGCTGGTGGCAAGAGTAACTGTGTTTCTGACCTTTGGTAAGTGCTCTGGGTCTACCTAGGGAGGGCTTCAGAGGACAAGGGACCCCGAAGGGTGGTTTACCCTCTATGCTCCCTGTGCTTTATCCAGCATACTAGATATAATTGAGAACCGTTCTGTGCATTTGTCCAGGAAGTACATACATCTACATACCAGGCTAGATCACAACCATAATCCCAGAAGAGCCCTTGGTAGTATTCGATTGTATGAAATCTATGGGTTTATTAAGTCAAGAGCCCATGGAATACAGCCTAAGAGTCTATTATTATTGGCATGTATCTTTGGTCTTTATAATAAAACCAATGCTATTTTTTGTGTTCTCGCAGGACGTAAAACTTTTGGAGCGTTAAGGGAGTGTTGTATCCTTGATCCACAGAATTACATTGGTTTCAGAGTCAGGAGTTAATCTGCTTTTCTTGACCCCTTAGGGACTATAATTGATGCTAAGACCACTCAGCCCACCTCCATGGATTGCGCTGAAGGAAGAGCTGCAAACCTGCCTTGTAATCACTCTACCATCGGTGGAAATGAGTACATACATTGGTATCGACAGATTCACTCCCAGGGGCCACAGTATGTCATTCATGGTCTAAAAAACAATGAGACCAATGCAATGGCCTCTCTGATCATCACAGAAGACAGAAAGTCCAGCACCTTGATCCTGCCCCACGTGACGCTGAGAGACACTGCTGTGTACTATTGCATCGTGAGAGTCGCACATTGGGACAGATGGGGCTGCACCTGTGCAATATCTCCCTGGTGGCAAGTGAGGAGGAGGGTAGCATTCATCTAGAGCAAAATGTCGATAGGAGTCAAAAAGTAACAAGAAAAGAGGAAAAGGAAGGGAAGGAGAGAAGGAAATAAGGGAGATACGATGAAGGGTAAAAAGAAGAATAAGAACTATATTTGCTGATATGGCTGAGAAATATGATAAAGGGGCTATAATTTGAACACAGCAACAAAATGAAGAGGGTTAAGAATTTTCACGACTCCTCTTCATGTCAAAAAAAACGTTCATTTCAGTTTGTTAGTAAAAGTGAACGGATAAGGAAAATCAAAATAATTCTGCTTGTCTCAAGGCTTTTTTCCTCTGGATCCAGGGGCAAGTTCAAGCTTCAAAATGCATGCTGTTATAGTTGATCCAATTACCAGAAACAAGTTGATTTTTCTGCAAGAAAAATCTGAAATGTTCCTTCTTACTAGTGCAGTAACACTAGTTACTAGAGCATGCGTATTTGTGATGAAGGTTTTTCTTTTTGGAAAGAAACAAAAATCAAATGAATATTAATTTATTTTTATTTTTCTTGAAGTCTTGAATCTATAAACGGACCTCATCATGTTTTATTTCCTAAGCAGCACACAAATCCATCTCACCATGTAAGACTCAGGTAAAGCAAAGGCGAAAGACCTACCTGCATTTCCTCATTCTTCCTTGTCTCACACCACTCTTCTCACACTGGCTTTGATACTTTAAGGTATATCATGACAGCCTGTTTAATTTCAGTTATATATCTGTACATATAATTTTATGCAATCACACACAAACTTACATACATACACACAGTTTTGTCATGTAAATTGGATTTATTAGATTTTTTAACTTGCCATTTATTGTTCATTTAATAAAGTGTCCTAGAGACATTTCTGTATCAGTAGAGAAGTTCACTTTATTCTTTTTGGTGCTTATTTAGTGCTTTGAGACATCATATCATTGCTTTTCTATTGATGCATATTTGTTTCTACTGCCTCAGTATCATAAAGAATATTGTGTTCTACTTCTTTATAGATTCACCTTAGTTTGTGTGTGTGTGGAAGTGTTTATTTTAATGAGATTTCTGAAACTGAAATTGTTATGTCAAAAGGAAGGTGCATTTAAAATTTTTGGAAAAAGTGGCAGTTTACCCTCCAAATGATATAACTACACTCCATATAATACATATATACGTATTATTATACACATAATTATCTCTTATAATTATCATATAATTAATAAATATAATACATGTAGTGTGTTAAATAGCTTCCAACCAACAGTAGGTGAAAGAACTCATTTTACATTCTTATAAAAATTGAGAATTACTGACAGTTTTTATTTTTATTTTATTGTATTATTCTATTTATTTATTTTGATTTGGGGTCTCACTCTGTCACCCAGG